CAATATGCTCTAGGTGACCCTGCTTGAGCAGGGAGGTTGGACTAGATGATCTCCAGAGGTCCCATCCAACCTAAACGATTCTGTGATTCTGTATTTATTTGGTTTAATGAGTTTACCTGAAAGTGCAGAATCTGTTTTTCTTAGGTGGCAGAACTCTGGTAACCCCAGCACTCATTCTCCATGGTAGCTGGTCCTCCAGTTGGTTACAGCCCCTTGTGTACATGTGTGTGCTTGTAAGCCTTCCTCCTTTACCATCCCCCCCCCGCAACAAGCATGCACAAGTGATCCAAAGCACATAATGGACATGTCCCATATCTCCAGGCCCTATCTTTGATGTGGATGTTCTTTGGTAGACAAGGGCTGCATTTCCTATCCTTGACTGTTTTTTTTTTTTTTTAAATAATCTCTTCATCACTCTATCCCAAAAAGGGGTCTCTGGGGAGAAGAAATTATATTTTAACACTAAAATTCCCTTTTCCCTCCTCCAGGCATCAGCCTCTTAAATGAGGTTCTGGTGTTGAATATTTTATTAGAACCATAATCTTTTCATCAAATCATACTGGACAAATGTTTCATGTGTAAATGGGTTTAACTCTTTGTGAATATTTTAAGATTTGCTGTTTAACTATGTTTTTTGAATTTAGGCAACTGTAAAAAACATTGCACTTGGAAAAGACAATAAAAATATTTTTAAAGGAAAGGGTTGAAAGCAAATCTTTCAACAAGCAAAGATTAGCTGATCTTATAACTTGGAAATATAGCAAACACTGTTACTATAGGGTAAAAAAATAGCAGGTTTTTAGGTAACATTCAAGAATGTGCCCATTAAAAAAAAATCCTGTTGAATATTATTGTTACTACAGACATTGTAAAGACATCTTAGGGCATCCATACTTCTAATAATTCCTTGAGGAAAAAGACAAGCAGGGTTGCCAGTTTTTTCACAGTTCGGTGTGTAAAGCAAAACACTTGCAATTAACTGTTAGGAATCAAAATGGTAAATTAAAGGGTTTAGAGTTGAAGAATACCACATATGAATAATGACAAAAGCTACTTATCAATCATAATATGTATCACCTGAGGAACAAATCACTGGATTTTACAAAATAATTTGATTCCTCTCTTCGGCATTCACACAGTGGCAACTGAAAGGATCACATAAATCTGCCAAGTGAAATGTAATTATGTATACACTTTCAATTAGATAAAAAGCACTATTTTTCTGTTAATAAACACTTCTAATTACTGCTAGCATTACCCAGGAACGTACATGCTCATGCAGGTAGAGAATATTATAGAGGGATGACCAAAGAAATGGAAGAAAACAAAACTTACAGCTTGCAGCCCTCATAAAAATGTATCAGAGGTTTCAGATGTGTTATTCTGAAGTGTATGGATCTAATGCCCAGTGTATATTCACAAGTAGAGGTGTGTTTGTGCAAATATCTAGCGTGGAGTAACATTTGCTACAATAAGATGTACAGGAAGCATATGCTTCCACACTGTATGTCCACATTTGTTTTTACTTTTTTTGGTATTAATCACTGATATAATGATGCCCTTTTCCTTCTGAATAAATATGACCAGGCTTTTTCAAAACCCCATTATTTCTGAGCTGTCACAAACACATCTAAATAAAAGGCTGCTCATGTCTGCTCTGGCTGCTAAGTAGAAGCAGCTCAAGCCTTCTTTGAAATATGATATAAGTGAATAAGAGCTGATCTTGCAAATACTTACTAGTAGATACAGTACTTATTACTAGTTAGTACTTGGTAATAACATGAAGATCAAAGGGACTTAGACTTCTTAGTGACATAGGTGCTTCTGAAATGGTGATTTAAGTTTCAAAGTCACTGAATTGTCTTTGAAAATATTTTCCTTCTCTGACTTTTGTTAAACAATTTCATGGTACTCATTGCTACAGTAAATGTGGAAACAAATAAAAGCTTTTTTAAATGTTAAAGATCCTCTCCTTCAAAATGCTATGTTCTGTTGGGGACTTGTGCACCTCAGAGGTATATCTTGCAATTGAGAGAGGGTAAACCTGTGCAACACAAGGGAGTACAAAATTGCACAGGAGATTTATACATTAAACCCATAGTTTGTGTTCTTGAAATGAGCAGTCTAACTTGTACACTCTGATTAATTTATTATTTTTTAAATTATGTCTGTGGTTCCATATGGTGTCACACACATAGTTTAGTTGCATCTGCTCCATATACTTGCCTCTGGAATTTCTGGGGACTTTCATAAATAAGCAGGCTATTTGGTGTAACATAACAATAACATTGCCTGCAATTCATATCTACAAATTTACTTTTGTCTTTTAAATGAGTTATGCTATTGCACAGAAAACTATATAGTACAAATTCAAGTGATGTTCACAAATTTGATATCTTACTTTATCTTAAATAGTGCTGTTTATAATGAATATTGATTTAATCATTAGTAAAACTCATTGTGATCTTATTTTTGCAACATGCTTAATTTGTGTTTCATTTTCTCTCTCTCTGTTTTCCTTTCTCTCATTACCTACCTCCCCCCATCCCCAACAGTCCTGGTACCTGGGCTAGCTTGGTTCCTTTTCAAGTATCAAATAGGACACCGATCCTGCCAACAAATGTCCCAAATTATGGTTTGAACATAATTGGAGAGCCTTTCCTTCAAGCAGAAACAAGAAACTGAGGGAAAAATGAAATAAAAGAAAAATTAAAAAGAAAAAAAAGGAAGGAAGACAGAACAAAAAATAAAACTGAAGAAAGAAGAAAAACAGACCATCAACTGCAGCATTTACAATCACTAATTCCCTTATGGTTGAAACTAATGAAATTCAGAGGGTCGATGATATTTCACTGATGGGTAGAATGCAGCCCCTGCTAAGTAGCCTTTGTTATATGAAGTCCGCTGGGAAATAGATGCTCTGTCTCTGACAATATATTTTAACTGACTTTCTAGATGCCTTAATATTTGCATGATATCTAGTTTTATTGATTTAGTATTCTTGTTGTTTACACATGGGATCATTATTCCTGGTTATCTCACAAAACAAAGGCTAGGCGGCAGCAAAGGAGCTGCAGGAGAACAAGTTTAAAAAATAAGTTCAGTAGTCTTTAGTTTAAGTATGGTTTTATTAAACTTTGGTCCTTAACCCAGCCTTTTCTAGTGTGTTACTGAGTTTGAAATTTTCAGTCAGTACAAACATACAGAGTCTATGGAAGAAATGCCTCTATATAGGTAAAAGTGTTTTCTCTCCAACAGTTTTTTAAAAAAAAAAAAAAAAAAAAAAACTTTTTTCCCCACTAAAAAAAACCTGAAACACTTACAGAGGCAAGTGCAATTGAAAAATCATATCTAAGGGGTCATCATTATAAGTCCTTCAGCCCTTGGGCTCTAAATTGAGGGGATTAAAAAAAAAAAAAGAATTAAAAATTACTTTGAACAAATTTATTTTTCCCCCTCAGTTTTTGAGGGCATTAATAGGCAAATCATATCCTTGAGAAGAAAGTAATGGAAACAGCACTTATGTTGATTTAGTTGCTGCCTCAACAGAAGGGTAGGATTTATTTATTTAAAGTTATTGGTTGCATCAAGAACCTATAGGATGTTCATACATTTCTGTAAAATCTGCATCATAGAGAGATAGGCAAATCCATGTCACAAAGGCAAAACTTATAGTTTACAAACTGGGAATATCAGGGTGAGGGATAAGATATATTTAAAAAAATGCACTCGCAAAGTGAGTCTAACCACAGGGTGCTCAAAACTCTCATGGTGCTTTCAGAAATCAGCCTTTTTCAACAAATTTCTCTCATTGACAGAACTGTAGAGTACATGGCCAGACAAATTTTGCCTCTGTCACTTAAAAAAAATAATTAGAATACTTTTTCCAGTAATCCTAATTTGCATGAAGATATAACGTCCACATTATGTGCCTTGCCTTGAAATCTAAAAAATGGAAAAAAAATTGACATTCACTACACTTGTTTGCTGCATTTATAATTTAAAATCTTTGTCATTTTTATAATAAAATATTTTGTACTCCAGATGGGAAAAAGTATGACAACATGGATTTTTTTTGACAGTTATACCTTTATCTCACATTTATAAAGCATATCATGGCTGTGTATAGTTGCCGCTTAAAAATTGTAATCGACCAGCAATATTTTCAGTATTTTGGTGTTTTTTCTATTAACCTTTCATGTTTTTCATCTTTCAATTAATATTTGGGGGGGAGGGGGTTCAAATTTATACAAATTATGCAATACCAAGTTTTGCCTATGTAGGTAGTGCTTTTAGCTGTATTAGTTACTATAGGTAAGCACTCTGCTTTAAAAGAAAAAAAAGTAATGCATACATTTTTGTTTAATAGACCAAAGTGGGTACTGCTATTTTTGCAGTGCGATGAGGTCCTTTTGTGTACTTAGAGATGGACAGGGGATTTTTTTGTAATACATACATACACATATATATGTATGTATGTATTTCTGGGGTGGGTGGGGAGGATTTTTAACACTTTACAGTGTAGCTGTGAAGCAGTGCACCCTTAGCCAGGCAAGGATTGCAAAGCAACTGTCCTGTCTACTGTGAAAACCTTTCAAATTGGTTCCCTCTTTTTAACTTCCCACCTGGGGTGCAAGCTGAAATCTTTTCTGGATTAAAATAATAATAATAATGATTCTGTTGGAGGCAGACTTGACTTGAGGAAATTGTTTTACTTAAATTTCTTTTTTGCCTTCCCCCTCAAAAGAGAAAGAGAGGTGAAGACCTACAGTGAGATGGAACCTTTCTCATTTTGGCAAAGATACCACATCCTAAAGTGTCCATTTTAGAAGGTATTTTTAGCTCAGAATAACATAGAAATATGCTTTGTTGAGAAGATGCACATACAGGGCCAAAACCTTTGCTGGCATAACTCTACTGATTTCAGTTAACTCCAAAGGAATTATGTTTGTAGGCAATTTGGCTTCCTAAATCTAAATGACTGGTGAATGTTCTTTTCTCTTTCTTTGTCAAAGAATTATTTTTTTTAATTTGTTAACACACAGCATCTGATTTATAGTCATCTACTTTCATAAACTATGTCAGAGGTTTAAAATGTCTTCACATACAACAGGTCAGATGGAAAGTAGCACTTCTGGTTGTAATGTGAATGAAATTTTGAACACATGGAATTAGCATGATATAAACAAAAGTTTATTTTCAGGACAATCAAATCTTACAGATTAGCAGTGGACCTGTTGCTGGAGACCTTTTGCAAATACAGGTTCCACATTATGTATGGCTCACCATAGGGTGTATTTGCCCTTCAAAGCACATCCTTTTATTAGGATGCAAGTGAAGGAGGAAATAGACTTATGAAAATAGGGCACCCCTGTGGGATAATTCAGCCCATTACAGCTGTCTCTTCACTTCAGAGATTTTCTTAAAATACCCCACCCTTGAATGACCACTGAAACACAGCTCAAACAATGACAGCACCACCAAGAGCTTGAACAGTGACACACTATGGTATCTTCTAATCTTTGCAAGAGCAAATAGAAATGATGTAGCAGTTACAAAAGAGGCAACTACAGCGGCTCATCCCCGCTAGAGCTCCTGCTACCATGATTGTCACCAGTGAGCTGCAATGACAGGACATTTTAGGAGGAAGATGCATAGACAGGGCCTGAAAGGCTACAGAAAGAGAGAGAAGCTGTAGAAAGAAAAACCCTTAAGATTTATATCTAGCTAAATTAAAAACCAAACCAACTTTATGTTGCTTTTTTTTCTTCCTCTGAGCCCCATAATAAATGAACTCATTCACCAAGTAAGTGGCTATTAAGAATAACTGAAATATAGTGGACCTACCTGAGGATCCCTGGTAAAATAAACTATGCATTATCCTTTCAGCACATCACTGATAATGAACAGTTCTGGGACATAGGTATGTGCTGGAGGACTGTCTTTGATTAGTCCCATTAGCAAGATGCCCCCTTAAACTTTTAATAGCACAACAGGATGAAACAAACAAATTCAGACTTCAAAATACAATAATCAAGATCTTAGCTGAACTTTTCCATTATCTCTGACCTCTTTTTTGACCAAATTGAGCTTACAGAGGCAATATTTTTAAAGGCAAACTTCTTCCATGTGAATTAATTGGTTTGTTAAACAACTGTGGGTTTTTCTTTAATACAAAGGCTTGATTTGAATAAAGCAAACTTTGCTTTTTTTTTTTTTTTTTTTTTTTTTTATTTTATGTTTAAAAGTCAAAAGACTACAATAACATTGAGAACTCAAATCCAGTCTTTGGCCTCCTCCTTCACCAGGAAGCATCTTCTGACTAAATCAAGCCACCCCGTTCTATGTGCACTGTTTTGCCTTTAAGTTGCTTTGCAGCCCTGGCCTCATGGCTGTGCCACTGAAGTGTTTCCCCTGGAATGACATGAACTTTTGAGGCTTGACTAAGGCGGGGAGGGGAAGCAGTGAAGGAGACTGTACATAAAGACATGGCAAAAATATTAAGTATAGCAATATAGTTGTTGGGTGATGTTCAGGTGGGCAGCTCCATTGAAAATATGTGAATGAATTTGTGAAGCTGCAAGTAGCAAGAATGGAGGATCTTCTGAAAGAACCAGCTACCTTGCAGACAGTAATTTGTACACTGTATAGTTTTGTTAAGATTTTTTAAGTACCCTTGTTTATAAAGCTAATTTTTAATAATGGAAATGTGTCCTTTCCATTTTAAAGTAAACAATAATATTCCTTGTTTAGAAACTGGACTTGAGTTAAAACTCTCCAGTTTCTTAATTTATGTATTAAAACAAACAACTATACACACACCACCTGTCCATGTCAGGAGTTATTTCAGATTCCTGTGCTTGAAAAGCATGGGTTACTAATCCTTTGAAACACATACATGGAGAAAAGTTATCTTTTATGAAGGTTATTTTATTGTATTTAGCATTGGAAAAGTTGGTTTTCAGAGTATTTCAAAATGTTGGAAGCACCACTGTCTTTTTATTAGTATATAAGGCCTTTAGCAAAGCTTTTTTTGATTGTTACATGATGGTGTTTAAGATTAGTTCTCTGCCTATTCTGATTTGCTCTGTGAACCTAAAACAGTACTTTATAGATGTGTCCTCAGGAAACAGAATTTTTGATTTGCAACTTGTAGCTTCATAAGAATTTAACAAAAGAGATTGCACAGGGACATACTCAGCTGCAACATCTGAGTGTGTTCCATACCTAAACTCTAAATTATATTTACTGTGTGATATTATGAAAGCTGCAGAAAGTTATCCCATGTTCAGCATGCAGTATTCACTTTTAATGAAACATCTCTATAATGTTGCTGGCAACTTGACATCCAATATAGTTTAATGTTCGCAGAAGACCTTGACAGAGTCATATAACCAGCTGCATGCTCCTGCACTTTTATTGTGTTTCTATAGAAAGCTTCAGAAATAAAGTATTATGCAGGCTAATCAAAATAGAAAACACTCAAAAATTAAGTGTTCTACTCCATACTGAAGAAGCTGAACACTATCACCTTCTTAATTGCACTTTCTGCTAGCTCCCCAGTTTTTCTAAAAAA